CTATGCTGCGCTGTAACTACTGACCCCAAAGTCTACATCTTCTTCCTCCACCAGTGCAGGCTTTATAGCTTGTAAGCCCACGGTGCACCCCCAGGCCGTACAGACCACGATGTGGCACTCAACTATTTGTTAAGCAAATGAGATTGCACTGCAGCCTTACTATCAATCCTCATATCATAATTCAGAAGTCAGCACAATTCCAAATGGTCTCCAGTGCTACCAGAGCCCTTCAAAAAACGAAAATGAGTTTAGAATTCTTTGTTGCTCTCTACCACTCTTTCTGTACCCCTTGCCTCACCATTTTCTGTTTCTCATTTCCTACATGCCAGATAGCAAGTACCCTTAGGTTCTCTAAGGTTTCTTAAACTAACTAGATCGGCCTTCCACTTCTAAGTTTCTTTTCCCTTCTTCCTGTGCAATTAAAATTACCACTTCTGAAGTCAGATATTCAAATAAACCAATTAAAAGTATAATATAATTGGGAATCTTATCCTTCTCACGGGCATTGTTTTTTAATTTAACAGTTTACTATTCAACTTATAAATGTACTATATGCTCATCAGAGAAATCTGCCCCATCTCACAGTTAATCACTAATAATATGTAGGTGTATTTCCTTCTGGTCTTTTTTCTCTAAATACTGTGCATATATAACATCTGCATGTGTCTTTTACATTTGTGAGGCTGCTGCTTCACTAAACACTGTAATATAAACCCTGTCCATGTTATCAAAAGCTTTTTAAAAAACACTATAATACTATTTAATTGGAAAGATATATTATGTGTTATATAATTATTCCCTTGGGGGCATTTTCACGGAGAACCTGGCTCACCCAAATCCATCTTTAATTAAATAGGTATAAGGTTGTTTTTTCAGCAGGAAGCTTCCATGTTCCACTGAAACTCCAGTGACTTCCACTATCATCACCACTACATGTCCTTCAGAGGCTTCTTCCATATTCACTATGTCAACTAATATAATTTGAAACAAAAAAATGTACCACACATCTAATACTGCTTTAACTTTTTGATAAGGATGTGTTAGAAAGAGACAGAGAGACACAGGAGCAGTGGGGGAAGGAGGGAGGGATGAGGGAGGGAAGGAAGGGAGATAAAGAATTAGGAAATAGGGGTGGCACAACAAAATTAAACATTTGGAAATGTTTACTGCTCACTGCTAGGGCATAAAAATTATACCTGCATACACATCCTTCTATTAAAAAAAATTTACCACCCTGGTTCCTCTAAAAATACCTTAAAATCTTATTATCTCTTACCAGTGCCAATACATTTAGAAATTCTCTTGTGTCAAAATGTAGCAGAGTCCGAACATACGGGTAGATTTCTTCCTCCGAGGAAGCTTCTGCTGAATGCAGGCGAATCAGAAATTCAAAAACCTGCAAGTTGAAAGAAAAGTTGATTATTTTCTCTCCTTACAAAGTATATTGCTGAAGCAACGATTCCCAGTTGGACAAAATAAAGGCAGGTTGAATTTAGTTTAAATTGCCACCATGTTATAACTTTTCTAACCTGTCTCAGCTCTAATTCCTGGCTGCAGTGATGGTGTGGAGGCTCTTTCCTACCACCGCAGATAGCTCCTGACTCACTTGTAACCCTCAATTACAGTTCATCTTTCTTGCATTGAACAAGAAGTGCAGATCATAAAAATGCCGTGGAAATAGCACCAACCTGGTTTTTAACCAAGGGAACAAGATCTTCAGGGATGTCACCAAGGGGATAGGCTCGGCCTGCAAGACAACAGCTAGAAGAAAAGAAAGAGAAAGAGTTGGTGACTTGTAATGGGCTGAGAACACATTCTTTCTCAAACCCAAGATATTCATTTGATTTTTAAGCAGGCTCAGCTTTTGTCAGGTCAAGTTCAGACCTGATCAAGATGAGAGGCAGTTCAGAAACTGTGGCCCACAGGGATGGTGGTGAAATAACACACCCTGTGACAGAGTAAGCACTTTCATTTCTTCTTACTCTTCCTGAGAAAAACCCAGGCCACATTAAGTGGACAAGAAGGAATAAGAACAGACTATCGGAAAGTCTCACACTCAGCACCAGAAAAAACCTAATGGCCCTGGTTTTACCGGTGATTTACCGGTGAAAAGCCTAATGTTCTCAGAGACTTTAAACCAGTGGCTCTAAGAACAGTGATTAAAGACAGGGAATGAGCTAGGTTAACAATGTCTGGAAAATGTCCACAATAGGACAAGTCTTCAGGGAGAGGAGAACCTGATGAGAAATTAACTGTACAGTTTTACCTCTGAATCAGACCTCCCTTATAGCTAATGCTTTATGAATTATGCCTTGTGGGCTGAACCATAAAGATGTCTTCTGAATATGTCCTCATTTTGGGTGGGGAAGGGGCACTGATTTTCAACTTTTTTGACCTAGTCATCAATTTTGAATGTTGGATTACAGACAGCACATTCTAAGAAGTTTAAAGTACATATACAGTACTAGGTAGATGCTGCAATGTTCTTCCCCAAAAAATCAATGTAACAAGTATGAAATAGGTCTCAAAGTTAACATTGACACTAGATAGGGGCTAAAATAATGCTCTGGCAGGTTCTGTCACCTTCCTGCCTGCTAGCCTGGCAGCCAGTTAGCTATCTAAGTTCTATTAGGACACAATTCTGAGCCTACCTAGTCTGTTGGAAAGAACCCCGTTCGAGGAGTAAGGAGATAAACATTTCACAGCTTAACCTCTGTCACTAACTTTTTCATGATCTAAACACATCTCTTGTCCTTTTATATAAAATAGAGACAACACATATTCCACAGAGTTGTCAGTAGTAAAAGTAAAATACTCTACCACCAGGCTTTCTCAACCTCAGTGTTATTCATATTTTGAGAGAGATAATTCTTTGTTGTGTGGACTACCCTGTGCACTGCAGGATGCTCAGCAACATCTCTGGCCACCACCCACTAGATGACAGCAGCATCTCTCCCCCAGCCCTGATTGTGACAAACAAAAATGACTCTAGACATTGCCAAACATCGGGGGGTGGGGGGTTCACCAACGGGGGACAAAATCACCTATGGTTGAGAACCACACTGTACATGCAAACACTGAAACATGAAAAGCACTATACATATAGGAAATGACAGTACCTCTAAGAATACAGAGGGGAAATTACAGAAGGAGCATACACACAGATAAATTTTTTTTTTAATCTCTTACCTAATATATACAAGAAGTTTGTTGCCCATAACAACTTGCTCATCTAAAATAGAAAAAGTATCTTCAGCAATTCTCTCTCAAACCTTTTAGAAATATAATCTTTATGTGGAAACAAAAAATGAAACTTGGCAATTAAGGTATCTTCCTAAATAATACATGATTTGGGATAAGACCACTTTCATTCTTGTTTTTAGAATTTCCATTAGATTCTTTTCACAGATACAAAATCAATGAGTCAAACAAGGGTACAGTAGAAGGCATACATCTGAGGGTAGAGACCCATGCATTGTTGGCTTAACCAATAGCTTGGGACCAGGGGAAGGTGTAGAACAGGCAATGAGTGGATGAGTTAAAGATCATGACCAATTAAGTAATATTAAGGCAAAACTGTAATGTCTTCTCATCTGTAACATGGACTCTTACTACCTATTGTGCTCTAGGGCTGAGAAGGCCACTGTTCACAAATGTTTAAAATAAGAGACATAGATTAGTTTTAGGCCAAAGGGTCAAGGGCAACAGAGAACAGAGCAGAAGACTCAAGAGTGGATAAAGTGATTAATAATTCTTATGGTGTGCAGATTATAAGAATTTGTGATTGGTAATAATGATGATAAGCTGAAGTTTTTATTTTTGATATACAAATAGTGGACATAATGCAAGCAAGTGTACATCTCTTAATCAGTCATCCTTTCTAAATACTCCAAATCTATGTTGTTCTAAGTCCAAATAAACTTGAATTGCTCGAAATTATATGAATAATCATACAATCTCCTCCACTATCAACATCTGCTCTAGAGTGGTACATTTCTTATCATCAATGAATCTACAGTGACACATCATCACATGACGTCTACAGTTTACATTAGGGTTTACTCTTAATGTTGTGCATTCAATGGGTTTTGGCAAATGCATGCTGATGTACAAACACCATTACAGTACTATACAGAACAGTTTCACTTCTCTAAAGTCCTCTGTGCTCAGCCTACTCATCCCTATCAACCCTTAGCATACAGTATAAGTAGGTTTAGTTTTGTTAGAAACTGCCAAACCATCTTCCACAGTGGCTGTACCATTATGCATTCTCACCAGCAATAAATGAGAGTTCCTGTTGCTCCACATCATTGCCAAAATTTGGTGTTGTCAGTGTTACAGATTTTGGCCATCCCAACAGGCGTGCAGTGGTATCTCGTTGCTTTAATTTTTAATGTCCTAATGATGTTGAATAGCTCTTCATATGCTTACTTGACCTCTGTGTATCTTCTTTGGTGAGATGGCTATTCAGATCTTTTGTCCATTTTTAAATCCAGTTGCTCATTTTCTTATTGCTAAGTTTCAAGAGTTCTTTGTATACTTTGGGTAATTTTTTTTTTTTAAGATTTTTATTTATTTGACAGAGAGAGAGAGAGACAGTGAGAGAGGGAACACAAGCAGGGGGAGTTGGAGAGGGAGAAGCAGGCTTCCCGCTGAGCAGGGAGCCCGATGCGGGGCTCGATCCCAAGACCCTGGGATCATGACCTAGGCTGAAGGCAGACGCTTAACGACTGAGCCACCCAGGCACCCCAGGTAACAGTCTTCTACAAATATTTTCTCCCAATCTGTGGATTATTTTCTTTCTCTTGATATTGTCATTTGTAGAGCACAAGTTTTTAATTTTAACAAAGTCCAGCTTATTATTTCTTTGATGGATGGTATCTTTTCACTGAATGATACTGTATCTAAAAATTCATCACCATAACCACAGCCAATTATCTCCTATGCTATATTCTAGATGTTCTCCTAGCTTTGCATTCTACAATTAGGTCTAAAATCCATTTTGGACTCATTTTTGTAAAGGGTGTAAATTCTGTGTCTCAATTTTTTTTTTTAAATGTGGATGTCCAGTTGTCCCAGCACTATTTGTTGGAAAGACTATCTTTGTCCAATGTATTGTCTTTGCTTCTTTGTCAAAGTTCAGACTATATTTATGAGTCTATTTTGGGACTCTCTATTCTGTTCTACTCACCTGTTTTTCTTTTTCTTTCTTTCTTTTTTTTTTTTTTTTTTTGCTGATACCACACTGTCTCAATTATTGTAGTTACACAAAGTCTTGGGTAGTGTCAGTTTGCCAGCTTTGTTCTTCTCTCTCAATACTGACTTTGCTCTTCTGGATCTTTTGTCTCTCCATATAAATTTTAGAATCAGTTTACCAATATCCAAAAAATAACTTACCTGGGATTTTGATTGGGATTACATCTGAATCTGTACATAAAGTTGAGGAAAAAAATGACATCTTGACAATACTGGGAGTTCCACTCCATGAACATAGAATATCCATCTATTTAGTTCTTTGATATCTTTCATCAGTTTTGTAGTCTTCATATAGATTTTATACATATTTTGTTGTATTTATACATATGTAATTCATTTTTTATAGTGCTAATATAAATGGTAATGTTTATAATTTCAAATTCCACTTGTTTATTCCAAGTATGTACTAAAGCAACTGCCTTTCGTATATTAATTAACCTTACATCCTGCAACCTTGCTACAATTGCTTATTAGTTCCATGGGTTTTTTTGTCAAGTCTTTCACATTTTCTACATAAATGATGTCACCTATGAACAGTTTTATTTTTTCCTTCCCAAACTATATAACCTTCTATTCCTTTTCTTGTCTTTTTGCATTAGGTAGGACTTCTAGTATGATGTTAAAAGCAGCAATGAGAAGGGGACATCCTTGCCTTGACCCTGATTTTGCAGTAAAGCTTCAAATTTCTCACTATTAAGTATGATGTTAGCTGTAGTGTTTTTTTATAGATGTTCTTTATCAAGTTGAGAAAGTTTTCCTCAATTACGGACAGTTTTTTTTTTCATGAATGGATGTTGGATTTTGTCAAATGCTTTTTCTGCATCTGTTGACATGATCAGGAGATTTTTCTTCTCTTCCTTACTGATGGAATGGAATAATTAATTTTCAAACGCTGAAGCAGCCGTGTATACCTGGGATAAGTCTTATTTGGTTGTAGTGAATAATTCTTTTTATACATTCTTGAATTCAATTTGCTAATATTTTATTGAGTATTTCTACGTCTATGCTCATGAGAGATACTTGTCTGAAGTTTTCTTTTGCTATAACATCTTTGTCTGATTTTGCTATTAGGGCATTAGGTTAATGCTGGCCTCACAGATTGAGTCAGAAGTATTCCCTTAGCTCTTTTAGAAGAGACTGTAAAGAATTGGTGTAACTTCTTCCTTACATGTTTGGTAGAATTTACCAGTGAAAGCTATCTGGGCCTGGCACTTTTGTTCAAGAAGGTTATTAATTATTGACTCAATTTCCATAATAGATGTAGGCTTATACAGATTATCAATTTCTTCTTGTATCCTTCAAAGAATTAGTCTATTTCGTAAGGGTTATCAAATTTGTGGACATGTGTTTATAATATTCCTTTCTTATCCTTTTAATATCCATGGGATCTGTACTGATGTCTTCGCTTTCATTTCTAACACTAGTAATTTGTGTCTTTTCTCTTTGTTGATATGGCTAGAGGCTAATCAATCTTATTGATCTTTTCAAAGAAATAGCTTTTCAAAAAAGTCAACAATTTTCTCTAATGACTTCCTGTTTTTAATTTCATGGATATCTGCTCCAATGTTTATTATTTCTTTTCTTTGCTCGCTTTGGACTTAATTTGCTCTTCTTTTTCTAAATTCCTAAAGTAGAAGCCTTAGGGCGCCTGGGTGGCTCAGATGGTTAAGCGTCTGCCTTCGGCTCAGGTCATGATCCCAGGGTCCTGGGATCGAGTCCCACATCAGGCTCCCTGCTCCTTGGGAGCCTGCTTCTCCCTCTGCCTCTCTCTCTCTCTCTCTCTGTCTCTCATGAATAAATAAATAAAATCTTTAAAAAAAATAAAAAATAAAAAATAAAGTAGAAGCCTTAGAGTATTGATTTTAAATCTTTCTTTTTTTTCTAATATATGCATTCAATGTTATAAATTTCCCTCAGAGCACTGCTTTTGCTGCATCTCACATATTACAAGTATTTTCACTTAATTAAAAATATTAAATTTCTTGAGATTTCTCCTTTGTCTCGTGTTACTTAGAAGTGTATTGCTTAATCTCTATGTATATTTTGAATTTTCCAGCTTTCTTTCAACCTTATGTCTATGTTAATTCTACTGTGCTCTAAGAGCAGGTGTTGTATGATTTCTACTCTTTTAAATTTCTTAAAGTTTTATGGCTCTGAATGTGGTCTCTCTTATTAGTAAATGTTTCACATGATCTTGAAGAGAATGTGTAATCTTGTATGGTTGGATGAAATAGCCTACAGATGTTAATAATACCCAGTTGAATGAAGGTGCTGCTGAGTTCACCTATGTCCTTACTAATTTTCTGCCTGCTGGATCTGTACATTTCTGATATGGGGTGTTAAAATCTCCAACTGTAATAGTGGATTTATCTATTTCTCCTCACTATTCTATCAGTTTTTGCCTCATGTATTTTGGCACTGTTGTTAGGTGCATGCACATTAAGAATTGTTATGTCTTCTTAAAGTATTAATCCCTTAATCATTATATAATGCCCCTCATTATCCCTGATAAGTTTATTTGTTCTGAAGTTGGCTCTGTCTGAAATTAATATAGTTACTCCTGCTTTCCTTTAATTAGTGTTATTGTGGATATCTTTCTCTGTTTATTTAATGTGTCCTTATATTTATATTTAAAATGGGTTTCTTATACACAACTTTTAGTTGAGTCTTGTTTTTTTGACCCATTCTAATATTCTCTTTTAATTGGTATATTTAGACTATGGACATTTTAAATGATTACTGATATATGTGGATATCTACCATGTTGTTACTGTTTTCTATTTCTTGTCCATATTCTTTATTCATATTTTTGTCTTCAATACTTTTTCTGCCTTTTGCAGTTTTAACTGAACATTTTATATAATTCTATTTTTCCCTTTTCCTAGTATATCAATTATGCATCCTTTTTTTAGTTGTTGCTCTCCAGTCTGCAACATAAATTTACTACCAATCCAGATCGACTTCCAAATAACACTATACTGCTTTCACAGGTAGTATAACTATCTTATACCAATGAAATACTCTTAATTCCTCCCTCCTGTACCTTGTGTCCTTGCAGTCCTTCATTTCATTTATACATAAACATACACACATAAGTATATGTACACACATAATCAAATCCATTGTTGCTATTATAATCTTGAACTATTATCTGATAGATCAAAAAAAAAAAAAAAGAAAAGAAAAACAGAGGTTTTTTTGAGCCAAACTGTTTGAATCTTGTTGCTTGGTGGTGTGGTCTGTATTTGCTGTGTTTAGAAGGAAGCAGGAGAGTGTGTTCATGACCTCAGCTGGCTGAAGGGCACAGCACGACCCTCCAATTATACCCCAGGATTGCAGCTCACACCTCAATGCCACAACATCCCTTGGCTTCATGCCCAGGGGATGCCATTTGCAGAGGCTCATGACAGAGCAGCTTGTCAAAGTCGGGGCGCATTCCAAGAAAACCAGAGGGCATGTTTCTGGAAATTGCTGTTGGAGCTAAGCTCTTGGTTTCTCTGTGGGGGTGTGTTCTGGGGGCACACTCATTCCTCTAGATATTGGCTGACATGCCATTATCTTTAAAAAGACTGAGCACCCCTGAGGAAGCCCCCTTTTTCCAGTAAAAAGTTTAGGGTTCTCTGTAGTGGCTGGTTGGAGGGGGACGAGGTTGGGCTTTCTCTAGTCCTCATAGTTTCCCTGTTTGTCAATCAAATTTCCTCCTGATGAAGATCATTTCCCCTACAAAGCCCAGGTCTCTGCAGACTGACTTAGCAAGGGGCACTAACAGCCATCCATGTCTGTACCCCCACCCAAAGTCCAGTGTTTTTTGCAAAGAGATAAAACTCCACCCCTGTACCCCCCATGTCGAGAGAACATCAGGGCAGGGGAAGAACCAAGTCCATTTCCTGTCCTTGTCTCCTCTGTGAACTGAGTTTCAGAAATTTTTTCTATATGCAACACAAAACTTCCAGATCCATAAAACACCCCAAGGATGAGGGGATAAAGTCGGTTGTTTTGTTTTGTGTTTGTTTTTTCTGGAAACTGCACTTCAAATTTTCCTAGGCCATAGAAGCCCAGAAGGACATGTGTTCTCATTTGCCTGCCTGATTTCATGGTGGTGTAACTTTTATGTTATTTTCTTGGTGTTGGAACTGCTCTCCTTTATAGTCCTGTTCAAGTTAAACTCACGTAAACTCTCTGGCTGGGAGCAGCACCTATGTTGCTGCTGCATAAGATTCTATTTGGATGCCAGTCCACAGGGCTGATGAAATCACCTGCTGTGTATCAATAATCATTAGTGACAATGATGGCATGAAAAGCTGCAATACGTATATAGTACATTTTACAATTCTTTGGGAAAAAAAGAATAAGAAAAATAAACATTTCTGTTTTACCTTCACTTATTAATTCTCTGATGCTCTTTCTTGGATCTGAGTTTCTTACCTATATTATTTTCTTTCTCTCTAAGGAACTTCTTTTAACATTTCTTATAAGACAGGTCTATTGGCAACAAATTCTCTCCATTTGGTTTGTCTCAGAAAGTCTATTTCTCTTTCACTGTTGAAGGATAATTTTACAGGGTACAAAATTCTATGTTGATGGGGTTTTTTCTCTCAACACTTTAAATATTTGTTCCCAACACTTTAAATATTTACTCCATTCTCTTCTTTCTTGCATGGTTTCTAAGAAGTCACATGTAATTCTCATTTTTGCTCCTTTACAAGTAAGGTTCTTTTTTCCTCTGGCCTCTTTCAGAATCTTTATCTTTTCTGCAGTGTAAATATGATATGCATAGGTGTGGTGTGGGGGTTTTTTGTTTGTTTGTTTTGCTGATGTTCAGCCTGCTTACTGTTCTCCTAGCTTCTTGGGTCTGTGGTTTGGTGTCTGACATTAATTTGGGGAAATCCTCAGTTATTATTACTTCAAATACTGCTTCTGCTCCTTTCTTCCTTTTCCCTCTGATATTCCCATTATGTGTATGTTACACCTTTTGTAGTTGTCCCACAGTTCCCACAGAACACTTGGATGTTCTGTTCTGTTCTGTTTTCAGTGTTTTTCTCGTGGCTTTTCAGTTTTTGAACTTTCTGTTGTTATGTCCTCAAGCTCAGAGGTTCTTTCCTCAGCTATGTTCAGTCTATTAATGAGCCCCTCAAAGGTATTCTTTATTTCTGTGAGCTTTATGACATTTTAATGTTACCTAGTCCTATCCCCCTTCCCCAGTTTTACCATAGCTCTAGGTTATAGTGGCCACCTGAAGGAATAAAATGGGTTTGGAGCTCCCCCAAAGCCTCAACCTCAGAGAACTATAAATATGTGACGTATTTGGCAGCTCACTTAGAAGCTCCATTCTCAAGGCTTGTCTTTTTTTTGTCCTGACTGAGCTTACTCAATGCAAACAGCACTATCCACATCCCCCTGCCCCCACCCAGGACATCTGTCAAAAACAGTCCAACTTAACTTTACAGGTGCCAGAGGTGGTACTACCAGAATGAACCAATAAACTCAACAAAAAACTTAAAAGGAAAAACTGGAGAATGGGAGTCTGCAGGGGGCTTTAAAAAGTTCCAACATATTTCCAGAATTCTAGAAGGACATACAGGGTTGTACACATATCCAGGAAAGACCTGGTAAAGTCCTAATCTACTCATGGCAGACTTTGAGGCTCTGCACAAGCAGGAAGTAAAGGTTAAGGCAGAATTATAAGCTACCTGCTGAAGCATTGAAAGTGCTAAAATAAAATGAAGCAAACTGATAAAGACATAAACAATTCAACAGTAATACTTGGAGACTTCACAAATCCACTTTTAATAATGGATAGAACAATTAGCAGAAGATGAACAGTAAACAGAAATCTTAAAACTATAAGCCAACTAGACCCAACAGACATCTACAGAACATTCCACTCAACAACAAAACATATTCAACACATTATTTTCGAGTGCATATGGAACATTCTCCACAACAGACCCTATGTTAGGCTATAAAATAAGTCTTGGGGCTCCTGGGTGGCTTAGTTAAGCATGTGACTCTTGATTTCAGCTCAGATCATGATCTCAGGGTTGTGAAATCAAGCCCCATGTCCAGCTCTGTTCTCAGCATGGAGTCTGCTTGAGATTCTCTCTCTCCCTCTGCCCCTCCCCCGGCTCTCTCTTTCTCTCTCAAAATAAAAAATATTAAATAAGTCTCAGTAAATTTAAAAAGACAGAAATCATACAAAGTATGTTCTCTGGCCACAATGTAATAAAATCAGAAATCAGTATGAGGAGGAAAAGTGAGAAAACAACAGATACGTTGAAATTAAATAACATACTTCTAAAAAACCAGTATCACAAGGAAAATTAGCAATTACTTTGAGATGAATTAAAATAAAGACACAAAATACCAAAATTTATGGGATACAGCTAATGCATTACTTAGAAGAATATTTGTAGGTATAAATACCTTTTTTTAAAAAGAAAAAAGATTTCAAATAACCTAAAATTCCACTTCAAAAGGCTAAAAAAAAAGGGGGGGGGTGAATCAAACCCAATTAGTAAGATGAAGGACGTAAACATTAAAGATTAAAGCTGAAATAAATGAAAGATGAAAGGAAAATAAAGAATATCAATGAAATCAAAATTGATTCTCTGAAAAGGCCAACAAAACTGACAAACCTTTAGCTAGACAGACCAAGAAACAAGACTCAAGTTACTCAAATCAGAAATAAAAGATATCAGTACTGACCTTATAAAAATAAAAGGAATACAAGATCATACCATAAGCACTATATGCCAACAAATTAGGTAACACAGATGAAATGGACAAATTCCTAGAAATACCAAAACTGACTCAAAATGAAACAGATAATCTGAACAAACTATAACAAGCAAAGAGACTGAACTTAAAAACTTCCAACTAAGAATATCTCAGGCTCACATGGCTTCACTAATTCCACCAAATTCCAAACTTGTTTTTTAAGATTTATTTATTTATTTTAGAGAGAGAGAGTGCACATGTGAGTGTGGGGGAGAGGGGCAGAGGGAGAGAGAAACCCAAGCCGACTCCACACTGAACAAGGAGCCCAATCCGGGGCTCAATCCCACGACCCAGAGATCATGACCTGAACTGAAACCAAGAGTCAGAGGCTTAACCAACTGTGCCACCAAGGTGCCCCTTTTTAAAAGATTTATTTTTGGAGAGAGAGGCAGAGACAGAGAGAGCGGGACAGAGAAAGGGAGAGAAAGGGAGAGAAAGGGAGAGAAAGGGAGGGTGGGTGAGAGAGAGAGAGAGAGAGTGCATGAGTGGGGGAACGGGCTGAGAGGAGAGAGAGAATCTCCAGCAGACCCCATTGAGCATGGAGCCCAACCCAGGGCTCAATCCCATAACCCTGAGATCATGACCTGAGCCAAAACCAAGAGTCAGAAACTCAACTGAATAAGCCACCCAGGCACCCCTGAATTCTACCAAACATTTAAAAAAGAATACCAATCCTTCATAAACTCTTCCAAAGATCAGAAGACAGAGCACTTCCCGACTCATCCCATAATGCAAGTATACCAAGTATCAACTATACTCGATACTAGGACCAGAAAAAGACATGAAAAGAATATAAAACTAAAGGATATCCTTTACAGACATAAAAATCCTCAAAAAAACAAAAAACCCCCAAAAAACTAGCAAACTGAATCCAACAGAACCTATAAAAGATGTGTACATCATGACCAAGGGGTATTTATCCCAACAATGTAACACTGGCTTAACGTATAAAAATCAATGAAATCTTACAGACCATATAAAATAAAGGACAAAACCCACAAGATTATCTTAATAGATGCAGAAAAAGGCATTTGATAAAATCCAATTCTTTCATATTAAAAGCACTCAACAAACTAGGAAAAGAAGGAAATTTCTTCAAACTGATAAGGTCATTTATGAAAAACCCACAGTTTACATCATATTTAATAATGAAAGACTGAATGCTTTCCCCCTTAGATCAGGAAAAAGATAAAGATGTCTACTCTTGCCACTTCATTCAACAGTGTATTGGAGGTTCTAACCAGGCCAATTAGAGGGAAAAAAAAAAAGAAATAGAAGGCATTCAGATTAGAAAGGAAAAAGTAAAACTATCTGTATTTACAGATAACATGATCTTACATATGCAGAAAATTCTACAGAATCCATTTAAAAAATTAGAATGAATTCAGCAAGAATGCAGGATATAAGATCAATATACAAAAATCAATTTCATTTCTATAAACTCACAAAGAATATTCCAAAAATGAAATTAAAATACCAATTCCATTTATAATAGCATCAAAATAAGTAAAATAGGAATAGATTCAACAAAAGAAGTATATGATTTACACACTGACAAACTGCAAAACATCGTTGAGAGAAATTAAACAAGACCTAAATAAATGGGAAGATATCCTATGTTCATGGATTGAAAGACTTAATGATGTTAAGACAGCAATAATCCCCAAATTGATCTATAGATTCAAAGCATCCTTATTAAAATCCCAGCCGCCTTTTTGCAGAAATTGGGAAACCAAACTGACTTTAAAAGACCAAAATAAATGGAGAAACAGATCACATTCACAGAATGCTCAACAGTGTTAAGATGGCAATCTCCCCCAAGTTAATTTATAGGGTCAAGTGCAATCTCAAATAAATTTCTTTTTTTTTTTTTTTTAAGATTTTATTTATTTATTTGACAGAGAGAGACATAGCGAGAGAGGGAACACAAGCAGGGGGAGGGGGAGAGGGAGAAGCAGACTCCCCGTCGAGCAGGGAGCCCGATGTGGGACTCGATCCCGGGACTCCGGGATCATGACCTGAGCCGAAGGCAGTCGCTTAACCGACTGAGCCACCCAGGCGCCCTCAAATAAATTTCTAATATGTTTTTTAAAAGAAAGCAGTGAGTTGACTTCAGTAGTTATATGTAAAGACAAAGGACCTAGACTAGTCACAATAATTTTGAGAAAGAAAAAGTTGGAAGATTTAAGTACCTGATCTCAAGACTTACTATAAAGCTATAATAGTCAAGACAGTATAATCCTGGCCTAAGTACAGACATATAGATCAAGGGAACAGAAAGAGCACAGAAAGAGACCCATACTTATATGCTCAATTGATTTTTGACAAAAATATATTTCTGCCAATTTTTTTTTAAACAAAAAAGGTGTCAATGGAAACAAGATATCTTTTCAAAAAGTGGTAAAGAAACTGATAGCTTTATGAGAAAAAAAAATCCTTGAACTTTACCTTGCATTCCATAGGAAAATTAACTCAAAATGGATTACAGACCTAAATATAAGTGCTGAAACTATTAAATTTATAGAAAAAAACACAGGAGAAAATCTTTATGACACTGAATTGGACAAAGACTTCTTAAAACACCAAAAGTCTAAAACTACAAAAGAAAAAATGAATAAAATGAACTTAATGAAGATTCAAAACTGTTGTTCTATGAAAAACATGTTTAAGAAAGCGAAAAGCTAAGCAACAGACTGGAAGAAAATTCTGCAAAATGTATCTTGAAAAAGGGCTCATATTCAGACCAAATAAAGAACTCACAGGCTCTGGTGGGGATTCATTCACTTGGAACTTTTACAACCCACTAATACGAAGTCCAGGAATACCTCCTCTCTAATCCCAAAAAAGTGCTAAAGAGTTAATTGATTAAAAATACAGACACACGTGTGTGTGTGTGTGTGTGTGTGTGTGTGTTCGTTCGTGTGTATGTGAATGGGCAAGAGCTCATGAGAAGATGTTCAACATCACTAACCACTATGGAAATAAATATTAAAATCACAACGAGATACCATCATACACCCACTAGAATGGCTAAAATTTTTCAAAGATTTATAGACTGCCAGTACCAAGTGTTTGCTAGGACATGGAACAACTGGAAGTCTCATATTGCTGACAGAAATGCAAAATGTTAGTCATTCTGAAAAACCAAGTAGCACTACCTTGGAAAGTAAAACATGTATTTACCATATAATCTTCTCCATTCCACTCTTAGGTACTTGCCCAAGAAAAATAAACACATATACCCACACAAAAACGTATTCACAGCTTAGGGTCAGTGATGTGGGATAAAGGCAATATAAAGGATACTGTGGTAATAAAATGGTGTGGTATCCTGACTTTATCCATGTGAATATCCAGTTGTGATACTGTGCTTTAGTTTTGCAAGATGTTATCACTGGGGGAAACTGGGTAAAGAGTATACATGATCTCTTGTGTCATTTCTTAGAATTGCATTAGACTATAATTTCCTCCTAAGTTTAATTAGAAATAAAACTTGTTCACAAATGTTGTAGCAACATTACTTAGCTCCAAATTGGAAGTCAAATGTCCATCATCTGGTGAATAAACAATTGACAGTATATTCAATCTGTGAAATACCACTCAGAAGTAAAAGGGAACAAATATTAATACATGCAACAACCTGGATGTATCTCAAAAACATTATGCTAAGTGAAAGAAATAAAGCACCAAAGATTTACCTACTGTATGAGTCCATTTACAAGACAAGTAGTGTCAGAAAGTAGACAGTGACTGCCTGGAGGTTTGCCTGGGTGGAAAAGCCTGAGTATAAAGGGGCAGAGGCTAACTTTAGTATGAAGGAACTTCAGCTCCTTCTATAGTTTGATTATGGTGGTGGTAATATGATTATATACGATTATCAAAATTCATACTGTACACATAAAATTGGTCAATTTTATGAAATTTAAATATCTTAAACTATGAAGAGAAGGAAAAAATCAAGACTTAGAAAATTATACCTGTTAGCGTCCTTCCTGCATTCAGAGGAGGAGCAATGACTCTGAAAAGTTTCTGCATTGAAATTAAAAAGAAAACAATCACCATCATTTTTAAAAAAGAGTATTTTCAAAAACATAATCAAGAATCTTATGCTATTAATCACCTTTCCCTGACTGAATTAGGTATTTGCTATTGAGATTAAATATAAAACTTTTAATGTGGCCGTGAACTATTATCGAAGGATCACTGGGAGACAATTGTCATATTCCTCACTCAAAGAAACCATTTAATAAATACCAGTTAGATGAAGGTCTTTGTTGAGATTGTAATTTCTGATATAAAATATCCTTAGGTTATTCAAAATGCTTTATTTAAAAACAATAGTAAGAGAATGAAGGGATTAATAGCCTACCAAAATGGTAATGAAGCTTACTTTAAAATGAAAACATCTGAACAACAGCAGACACAAAAGGAAACATCTAAATTTAAGCATAGCCTGTGAAAACACAGTAGGATTGATGACAAAACTACACTGGCCTTCCTCAGAGGGAGTTACCTGTGTGGGAAAGAACAGACCCTTAGCACTGGGAAATGTAAATTAAACTGTTCATTAGCATCCAAAAGCCCAAAAAACCAATCCATATTTTCTTTCCCAGGGAAACCCTAAGTCTCTCCCTCCCGCTACCCAACATTTTGCTAAACCGGTATATAAACCTTTAGTTCTGTTCTAATCAGTAAAGTACCCTTTACTAAGTGCTCCTAGTTCTTGTGTGAATAAACCTTATCTTTTCTGCTGTTAATCGGTCTTTTGCCAGTTAATTCGCAGCCCTTCCCCTACCCCTGGGACCTAAATTGCGAGAGGAAAAGTCTTTACTCTCAACTCAAGGCACTACTTTTACCTCAGAAGGAGCCAAAGGTAGAACTAAGGAAAGATTTCATCAGAAAACTGTGGTAGTCATCTCAGATGTGATGACCACTGTCATTCTAGAAAACCTAGAAAATTTCAAGAGGCAGGACACCTTTTAATTTAGACCTCTTTAAGTACAAAAATAACTAAACATGGACAAGTGATTTCCTTGTGGGCAGAAAATTATAAAAAAGGAATCACAGCGTGCCCCTAACCTCCCATTGCTAGCTAACCTCTCCAAATGACTACTTAATACCAAGCTCTTTCAGAAAACCATTAAACTTGAAAACTTCTCTTAACACAAAACAAGTCAACCTTAATAGGCCAGCAGTCCATCTGAGGTGTATAGGTATAAATGCAAACCAGACTTTGAGGAATGAAACACACAAAACTAAAACTTAAAAAGCCCTAAAACAAAAACCCTGCAATCATTTTTATCACCACAGAATGTATTGAATCAGGATCTGTTTCTAAAGATTACTTTGAGAAAAACTAGAAATTGTAGAGGCAGATTTTAGGCAAAGGGCTGAGCAATGGAAATCTGATCAAGGTAAAAGGGCCCAGAGCTACTACTGAGCTGACTGCAAACAGTCTCATTAAGTGACCCACCTCGAAACAGCCACAGGCCCTAACTGACCAATTACAACAAGGCACAGTTTCTAATAGAGATTACCAAAAAAAGAGAAAACTCCAAACATCCCCATACTCCCTCACTCCACCCTATAACTGTGGCCCCTCACCACTGTCTTGTTGAAGTCTCTCCTCTGCCCACTACTCCCTTGCAGTGTATTCAATAAACTTTTATCTTTTTTGTTCTGTCTTAGGTGAAGTCTTTCACTGTGGGCACCACAGGCCCCCATCCAAGCAGAGCACCCCACATTTGGTGGATGCCCCCACAGGATCAGGAGACCCCCATAACTGGGATGTCTCACATATGATGGCCCATATGGGGACCTCTGTCCGCCCAGGGCTCTCCCCAGATTCTCTGGGAATTTCTCGGGACTTTCCCTCAGTGGGCCATCCGATGGGGGCATCTTACAGAAACTGCATTAATTCTTCCTAATTGTGGTTTAGTAGTGAGATAGAAAACATTTTTTGTGTGCAGGGAGATCCTGGATCTCATTGAGGACACGGCTGACAACTCTTACCAGGGAAGTACTGGGGAAGCAGCTGAGAGGTGTTAAATGTAAAGACTACTTAACTAGACACACAATCAGCGTCAAAACCAGGGGAAGAGGGCTGTGGCACTCATTCTGGAAATTGACCAAGAGAAGAGGGGTGCAACCAAAACTGGAGGAGTTTTGAATTAGAGTGATACTCACCTACCAAGTTAAGTGTGTTTAATGAAGCCTGAAATATCAAAAGATAACTGCTGGCTTAGTAATACTGAAGATAGTTTTGGATGGCCATTAAATGTGAAAAAAAAAAAAGTTGCTTGGATGCTTTCTGCAGATGCCTGGCTCTTGTGAGCCAGGTAATTAGTCATTGTAATAAAACAATGGGCTGGCAGGGTACTACATATATCCACAATCCATTATCTATATTCTGTCCTCAATTTAAGGCAAATAACAAGATGGATATGGCATTTGGTTCTTTTTAAAATAAGCCCAAATGCTTTTTAGCGATAAGGAGAGTAAATTATAATGCATGCTGTAAACGCTGAACTGGGAAAAGCAACAAATCAGCAATTAACAAATAATGATCTTTCACTGTTATCAGGACCCTCCCCCAGCACAATGTATCTACAAAGAGTATTTCTCAACAGTATATTTGCTACACACAATAAGTATATAAAATAAATTTCTTATACCTTTTGGAAAATGTACTATAACATCAAAAATCTTAGGGAGGAGAAAAAACAAAACTTAAAGTCTAACAGGCAAGCATTATCTTTAATTGTATCTATTTGTTCCCTGGGATTTAAATACCTACTTATGCAGATAAAAAAGAAAGCAATGGCAGAAGGTGTGAAATTAAAGGCTACCTAAATTCCCAAGCTAAAATGGGTATAAGTCTAATAATAAATCTACAAGGAATTAAGCGACTGGATGAAAACAAACTATTCAAAGCAAATGGATAATAGGAAAAAGCTCTTAACAGACAATATTAAATATGTGTCCAAGTTGGGAAGTATCTTACCTCCATTGGACTTATAAATTCATTCATGCCTCTGTTGTAGACATAGATCATAGCATCATACAGACGATTTTCCCAACACATGAGAACTACCTGTAAAAAGGAAGAGTCGCTTATTCCATACAATTGGGTCTCACCAATTATCTTCCTTAGAGCTTTAACAGTGGAGAAAATCTTGAATACTCTTCCCTAATTTTTCTTAGTCCTTCTCTGAAAAAAACTGAAGTACAGGTGACTCTTGAACAATGTGGAGGTTAGGGATGCTGACACCTCCCTATCCCTCTGCATAGTCAAAACTCCATATATAACTTTTTGACTCCCCCAAAACTCAACTACTAATAGCCTACAGTCACCGGGCAGTCTTACTGATAACAGTCAAGCAACACTTAATTTCATACATTATATGTATTATATTCTGTATTCTTACTATAAAGTAGGACAGAGAAAAGAAAATGTTATTAAGAAAATTATATGGAAGAGGAAATACATTTACACTACTGTGCTGTATTTATTGAAAGAAGTCCACATATAAACAGACCTGTGTAGTTCAGAATCATGTTGTTCAAGGGTCAACAGTACTCAAACACAATGCCAGGGTAAGAGTTGTTGGAGGTTCAATACTACTTTTAATTGTACAATAGCTACTTTTAAACATCCCCAATGTCTACTTTTTTCTCTATCTACCCCTTTTCCATATTCATTTTACCCTTGGTCAACAGCTCTACAAATTATTTAACTGAACATCTATAGTCAGGGCCACTGCTAGGATCAAACAAACCCAGACGTAGTCTCTACCCTTACAGAACTACTGTTCATCTTGGACACTAACCAAAAGAAGGGAGGGGCACAAAACAGTGTGAGCTAAAACTAGGGGAGATACTCAATTACACATTTAATTCATTTACAAATGTGATTTGTTACAAAGGAACCTGATTTGGTGTATAGAGTATTCAGGTCACCCCTGAGGAAGCAATATTTAAGCGAGGGCCTGAAGAATGCATGCATATGAGCCAAAAGCAGAGATGGAATTTAAGGACTATGCAGGCTGAAGCAATAAAGATGAAGTCTCAAGGCAGCAAGAAGCTTGAAGTGTTTAAAGATGGAGAGAAATTAATTTCAGAAAATATTTAGAAGAGGAACAGCGATGACTTACAGTGTACTCTATATTCTGTTCCTATGAGGGATATGTTATACAGAGTGACAAGGGAAGAGGGCTGAAGTAGAAGAGGAGAGGGTGGTAAAGGAGAGTAAGGAGCAGCCAGAGAATTAAGAGGAAAAACAGAAGTGAAGTGTCATGGAAGAGTCTTCGTAGACTAAGGCATGTTCTGGGCCCTTTTCCCTTCTCTCACTGCCCTCTCTCAGCCAGTGCTGTGATCATACATCTCTGTACTGATGAGTAACACATTTACCTCCCCTCTGACTCATATATCCAACCACTTACTTGATCTCTTCACCTGAATGTCTATCTCAAAATAAAATGGCAAAACAGAACTCCTCATTTTGTCTCTCAAACTTAGACCTACCCAGTCTTCCAATCTTCTTAGAGGAATCACTATCCACCTTTATCTCAAGCCAAAAAACTAAGTGTCATCCTTAAACTCTTTCTTTCCCACACTTCTACACCCTTGCATCCAATTCATCAGCACATCAACCCTACTGCCAAAACATATCCAAAATCAAGTCATCTCTCTCCATCTCACTGTGACCATCTCTGGTCAGGACCGTCTCCTGGACCAGTACCTAATCTCCTTACTTCTGTACTTGGCTCCCACCTTCATTCTGTTATCCCTAAAGTAAACCAGAGTCATCTTGCTTAAAACCTTTTAATGATTTCCCAGAGCACTAAGAATAAAATGGAAAAATCTATACCTTGCCTTGAAAGGTCTACCTCTCTTTTTCAACCAAGCTCCCAGCCTGTTTGCCTTTTATCTGTAACATTAACATTCGACACCTTTTTTTTTTTTTT